ACCCTTGCCAATCGCTCGCGAACAACGCGGGGTCACGCTCACACGCGTGCACGCCCCCGACAATCATGGAAGCAGGCGGTGATGAAACTTCAAGTCCGACATTCCGCTGGCACGGACAACCACCAACTCCACCACCATCGTCACCGTCGCCACCGCAGCAGCAGCAGCAGCAGCTACATTAATTTTAAACGCTCAAGCGAAGAGCATGAAAATCGCTGCGCGAGCTGCTTACATTATATTTCATTTCGACCACGGGAGGTGGGAGGTGGTGCGGGGGATGGTGGGGGTGGGTGTCTGGATGGAAAACCATCTGCTTCCAAAGCCGGCAGCATGGGCCTGGCATCGCTGCTGAGCGCCCTCTCTTCCCCAATGCCGATCGGGCCCTGAACGCGGCGCCCCGTGAGAAAGAACCGCCCCCCGTGGCCCCCGTGGCGAGCCTCGCTCGGCCAGACGTGGGCACCCAGGGGCTCCACGGCTGCCTCCCAGCGACGCGAAACGGAACGCCGTGGGCCCCAGCGCTCGCCGTCCCCAGCGGGCCCCGTCCCCAGCGCGCCGGCGGCTTCCCTCCCGTGGCTCCTTGGGCCCAGGAAGCTGCCCCAGCGGTCTAGTGGCTTAGCGCACTGGGCGCAGACTCCACTGGTCACCGATTCGATTCTATCCGCCGGCGCGGCAGTGAGGACAACGGGGCGAGTTTACGATCACCCCCCGTCGCTCACCCCACAAACGCTGCCCTCTGTCCACCCTACAGTACAAATGGGTGTGCAACAGGTAGTCGATCAGTGGTCGTGTTTGGTGTGGAGTTCGGGTATTCCCACCTTTTCCATGATGTCTGGCCATAGTGGAAGAGTAGGCCAAACTATACTTCTACCAGAGGAGTTCCTCAGAGCTCCCTCTACCCCTGGGGCCCTCAACCAGCAGCGGTGAGAACGAGCAATTGCAAGGGCTCGACTCGGGGGATTAATTTCCCAATAAATATTTCAGGAACCCCCACAAGCTTGCGGACCCGAACCCCCCACTGCATCGCACCCCCCCCCCCCATCCCCCCCCCCCCCCCCCATAGCAGTGGTGGGTAAATGTTCCCACAGCTTCGGGTAAAATTAAGCTCTGGCCGTACATTTACCGCGGGCCCAGCGGTCGGTGTGGAGCGCTCGCGTCACGGGGTCCCGTCTCTGTGGAATATCATCGCTGCCTTTTGGTGCCACCTCTCGCAGGCACTGAGCCCCCAGAGCGTCTCCGCTCTGGGCAGGCGAGGCTGTGACATTTCTGGAGGAATGGGATGTCAAATTTGGTGGTGGTGGTTGTCGTCCGTGTGGTAATCCATTGCGCGGCTTTGCTCGGCGCACGGAGAACTAATGCGGAGCGTTTTTCAGCGGCGTATAAGCGACTTTAAAATCACGGCGCAATATTCCTCGCGCCGTAATTGGCCGTACGAGCTCTGTAAGCTGAGACACTTAACCACGGAGCAGAATGCGCACCCGTGATCTCCACTTCCTATTCATTTTGCCGCTGCTGTATCCACTGATAAAGCACACACACACAGCGTAATGCGAATTCTCTATCTCACACACGCAGAGAGAGAGAGAGAGAGACTGTTGGGGCGAGGGCTGTTAAGCGAGTCCCTACTCAGTCGCCTTGATCTCCCCTGTAATGATGTTTATGCACCACACACGGATAATCAGTTAAGGCTCAGTTGACTTAGAGGAGGTACAGATAACACTCGTCAATGACGTTAGCTGTGATTGGGAATGGAACTGAGGTCGCTGGGTTCGTAGCGCAGCGTAAAGACCGCTACGCAACCATTCCACACAACCCATCAACACACACACTCACACTCGTGATTCCTAAAGTTTAATTAATTTGCTGCCACAGCCACCTGCATAAATTCTCCCTCTATCTCCAACATTCGAACACTACTCATCCTCGATCACAGTCACACACGCACGCACATTCGCACACACACACACACGCGCACGCGTTATGAACCGCGGTATGCAATGCAATATGCCTCGCATCAGGCAGCCATGCGGCACGACGAATGAATGAAGGGATCAGTGTCAGAGTAAATGTGCTGCTTTCTCGTGACACATCCAGTCCCCCAAATCACCACCGCAAGCAACAATGTACTACCACCAGATCCACCACGAACCAACTACCGTCACCACCACCTACCACCATTGAAACCCAACCACCACTACACAACAACCACCAACCGCAACTACAGTTACAAACACAATCAGGCAACCACCATTACCACCATCGCAACCACAGTCACCAACACTGCCGCTGCTACCCCTACCACCACCACCACTAACACCACCACGAACACCCACCACCACCGCTGCTGTCAATGCAACACTCTCCCTCCCTCCCTCCCTGCGCGCGCGCCCACCACACGCACACTGTGATAGCGCGTGAATCAAATAAGCCCCCCCGCCACCCCCACCCCCCCGCCACCCCCACCCCCCCCGCCCCCCCCCCCCCCCCGCCACCCCCACCCCCCCCGCCACCCCCACCCCCTAGATAGCGGCCGTGGTTACCCGGGACCGCGACGATCGCGGCCGAGGCAACAGAGCGAACTGCGGCTGAGCCGGGATTTATGAGACGTGGGACAGAGGCGCAGCCGCGGGCAACATCTCTGGTGCTGTCAGCGGCTAGCGGGGGCGGTTCAAGCGTCGCTCAGATGCACGGGCCAAGGCCAAAAACCATCGTCCCTCCACCCCAGCATCTCTCTGCATACACCCAGCCCCTCTCGTCCTCCTCCTCCTGCTGCTATTCCTACCTCTCCTCCCTGTCTCCTTGTCTGCCTGGGGCTCACCTATTTGCCTATCTAGATGTGCACGCAAACCGGAGAGCAATGTAGATTATGTTTATATTTCGGTAGCGTTACCAATGTGGATCTACTGCCATTCATTAAATGGTAGTTATGGTCGTGTGGTGACGGTGGTGGTGGTTGCGTAGTGGTGGTTGGTGCTGGTGGGTGATGGGTGTTGGTGGTTGCTGGTTATAATAGTGGTGGTGGTTGCGTAGTGGTGGTTGGTGGCGGTGGGCTGTAGTTGCGTGGTGGTGGTTGAGTGAATAAAGAGTAGTGGTGGTGGTTGAGTGAATAGAAAGTAGTGGTGGTGGTTGAGTGAAGAGAGACTAGTGGTGGTGGTTGTGGTTGCGAGGTAGTGGTTTAGTGGTGGTAGTGGTGGTTGTGGTTGAGTGAAGAGAGAGTAGTGGTGGTGGTGGTTGCGAGGTAGTGGTTTAGTGGTGGTCGTGGTGGTTGTGGTTGAGTGAAGAGAGAGTAGTGGTGGTGGTGGTTGTGGTTGCGAGGTAGTGGTTGTGGTGGTGGTGGTTGTGGTTGAGTGAAGAGAGACTTGTGGTGGTGGTTGTGGTTGCGAGGTAGTGGTTGTGGTGGTGATTGTGGTGGTGGTGGTGGTGGTTGTGGTGGTGGTGGTGATTGTGGTGGTGGTTGTGGTGGTGGTGGTGGTGGTTGTGGTGGTGGTGGTGATTGTGGTGGTGGTTGTGGTGGTGGTTGTGGTGGTGGTTGTGGTTGAGTGAAGAGAGAGTGTGGCTCGCAACACGTTGGGCGCGAGAGCGCGACAGGGAAGAGTTTTGGGCAGGCCTTGTGATCGGTGTATTAGGTGCTATTGTAACGTTATCATAATTATATATTTTTTTTAAACTCTGCAAATCATATTGATAATGTAAACTAGATTTTATTATTACAAAAAAACGTGTCAGCTGTATAGAATGCTAAAGTGTAACTGCGCTGTGGCGTCAAGTATCAAAGACAAACACACGCGAAAGACTCAAGCGTGCCCGACGTCGACTGTTCGTGCAAGCGCTGTTGGCGAGCAGCTATTGAGGCAGGCGAGAAGCTCGGTGGGATATCCTTAAGCATTCACCGCCTTTGTCTCCCCCGTGCTGATGTTGACACACAACGCACCAGGTACTCATGTTGACACACAACGCACCAGGTACTCATGTTGACACACAACGCACAAGGTACTCATGTTGACACACAACGCACCAGGTACTCATTCAATGCTCAGCCGATCCAAGGGGTAGGAGGGCCAGAACTAATTCAGATATCACGCGCACACAATCACTCACACACACACACATAGGTGAGTACAAAAACAAACATTTCAGAGTGTGCCATACTGAGTGTACCATATTGCACGGCTTCCCCCGAACATACGGAGCAATCCACAGTCAGAACGCGCTCGTTGTCAGCCGTTTGGGCTGATGAATCTGGTCATTGATACTCATTGAAGGTATTGCCACGTCCACCGTTGTATCTCCATGTTCAGCAACAGCCCACGCACACACACACAGAGACACACACACACAGAGAGAGACACACAGAGACACACACACACAGAGACACACACAGAGAGACACACACACACAGAGACACACACAGAGAGACACACACAAAGAGACACACACACAGAGACACACACACAGAGAAAGACACACACACACAGATACACACACATACAGAGAGACACACACAGAGAGACACAGAGAGAGAGAGAGAGACACACAGAGAGACACACACAGAGAGACACACACACAGAGACACACACACACAGAGACACACAGAGACACACACAGAGAGAGACACACAGAGAGACACACACAGAGAGACACACACACACACAGAGAGGTGTGTGTCCTCCGACTGTTGGGGGCTGCTTGTGCTCTTAGTGACCACCCATGAAGACCGGCACGACGCACGCGAGGGGGTTGACGTGGCCAGAATCACTCTCGGCCGCCTTTGTCTCCCCGATGCCGGTGTTTTATTGGCACATCGCACAAGAGTTCTCCTTTAAAGGTGAGTCGACCTAGGAGGCCCAGAGCCGGCTCAGGTATTCGCCCAGTGGCTTTAAGCGTGAGCGGGAATCGGGAATCGAACTCGGGTGCGTCGCGTAGTGTGTCAACCACTGCGCCACCGCTCCCCACCAACATAAACGCGGTCTCACACACAAACTCACTCCAGTAGCTCCACTCACCTCACAAGCGCATCCCGATCTCGCCGGCTGTGACGGTTGACTGCGTCTCTCTCCCCATCTCCTCCGTTCTTCTCCGCATCCCCCTTTATTTGCGCTCTGAAGCTGCTTCTCACCCCTCCCCTTCCTCTCTCTCTCTCTCTCTCCTTGTGGACCGCGCTTTTGTTTCTCAGTATCTGTGTGTGTCTCCGAACACTCTCTTGCGATTGTGTCTGTGTGTGTGTCCGTGTGTCTCGCTCTTCCCTGTGTGTGTGTCTATCCTTGTCCGCGTAATCTCACCTGCGCTGCATCCGCTCTCCGCTCTTCTCTCTCTCTCCCCCGCGCTCTCTCCGCTCGTTTCCAAACGCGGCGGCGCTCTGACATCGCGGGCTGTACCACTCGCGACGCGTCGAGTAGGGGGGGCCGGGACTGTTGTTGTGGTGCCAGGGAGGGGGGGAGTTTGCTCCGGGAGCACGAAGACACGAGGAGAGAGAGAAGATCGAGAGATGGAGAGATTGAAAGCGTGCGGAGAGGAACGTCATTCGAGAGTTTGATTATTTTGACGAGAATGATGAAGATGACGACGAGCGTGATCAAGATTGATAGCCACAATTACGATCACGATTGATTTTGATAATTACGATGATGATGATTACGATTATTATTTTGTCGATGTTGAGATGATAATGAAGACGAGGATGAAAATGATGGAAATAAGACCTGCTAATAATGATGACGATTATGAAGATGATAATGGCAACAATGATAACCGTTTAGCAAATGATGAAGACGATAATGATACTGATACTAACGATAATAACGACTGATGATAATTACGATTACGACAACAAAGAAGACGATGATGGTGATGATGATGTGATGATGATGATGTTTGGTCGATTCTATTTTGGGCGAGGTTTGTGTTCTATCAAACAGGAGGGTCTCGCTCCATTCGACAACACCCGGCTGATGGCGGATAACGGATTCCTTAAAAAGCAAATGCCAAGAGGTCCCCTTGCTGCTGAAAGGTGGACATTGAAGAATCGCGAGTCAAGCGATCACTCACGGAGCCGCGAGAAATCCTCACGAAACTTCCCTTGCAGGCGACGTGTTCTGCTCTGCGATGATCGAATGCCCCCCCCCGCACCCACAACGGACCCCCCAGGCACTGATCAACATGCGGTAGAGCGAGTGGCTCCCAATCAAGAGGTTGTGAGTTCAAATCCTGCTTGGGGGGAGGGGCAGGGAAGGGCGAGCTTGAGGGGGGTTGAGTCAGTCCATCATCCCTCCCTCTAGAGTAGATGGAGACGTCAACACAGTGGTTGGCCTACAGGGAGACTCTCCCCCCCCCCCCCGCACCATGAAGGTGGAACTTCCACTACTGGCTCAGGGCTGTAATCAGGAGATGGACGCTTCCTCGGCCATCATCCCTGTGGGGTCAATAAATGCATTACCACTCACTCCGACCCCTGCTGCCCCTGTCCACACTGCGGTGTCCCCGTGCAGGCCACGTGTGGTGGAGTAAGTGTGGGTCCTCTCACCGCCTTCCAAAACGTCTGGCCGGCGTGGAAGAGCAGGCCAAGTCCCCTGTGGAGGAGCGAGACTCGCGTCCCTCTACAGTCGAGGTCATGTGGCGAGACGGGCGCACGGAGCCAACTGCAGGGCTGCGCCTTGAGCCGCTCTGTTCTACGACTGGACCCGAACATTTCGGTGACGGCAGAAGCCCATCTTCCTTTGCGTCTAACAATTCCAGAAGGCCACTCAGGCACACACGACGCTGAGCTCATCAGACGACATTACAGAGGTGACATACAGCCCAGATCTGGCTCCCCTCATCTCTTCGTCTGCTAGGCCCGTTGCAGGATGGCCGTACGTGGATAACATTTTGTCCGTCCGTACAGGATTACGCTGTGGGCAAATGTTCACGTGACGCTGATGACATCCACTTGCCGTGAGTAATTGTCGCCCTGAGTAATGGACAGATATAATATTAACACGAATTAATATCTACATTCGTGTAGCAATTCAATACAAAACTAATTTGAGACAAAACTAGGATTCGTTACTTTTTTATAAATATTTAAGAGAGTCAATATACAGCTACTGGCAATCCACTGCTGGATGAAGGCAGTGTCGGTCTTGGCTGTCACTTGACCATACTTCACCACGCTGGTCAGTGTGGATTGGTGAAATGGAGGAGTGGGCGGCTAGGACCCTGTTGACATCTCACTCTCTACGGGTGAGAGCCGCGGGCGGGAATTGAACTCGGGATGGCGAGGTTCAGAACGTGGAACTGAAACCACTACGGTCCCCACTGCCGCCTGCTGAACCCCCGTGAGCTCAAACATCCCCGAAAATGAATTCAACTTTGAAACGAGAACCCTGTGAAGTTATTAAACTGTAGCACACTCTCCATCACAACAATGGCTCATCACGCAAGCAGAAGTCGCCAGCGGCTGCAATGTGTGAAGAGCGGCGCTTCCTGCCCCCCCCCTCCCCCTTGGGGCGGTGACGGGGCGCAGTGGTGGCGCCCTTCGCCGCTTGGTGCAGGGAGAGGTTCACGGCTCGATGCCAGAGGCCGCCCTGACTATTGCTGCGCTTGTGTGCATTAGCTACTAGGTAGACGTTGGAGCGTAGCACTTGTAAATCTAAAGTAAACCCCAATTTCTTTAGAACTGCTTTTTGTGTTTAGTTTACTGCCCTTCCCGCGCACCTCAGATTAGCACGCTTGGCTACGTACGGTGCGAAAGAAGTTCTACATCCGTATAAACTACTACACGCCGTCTGCTTCACTCACAGCGGACGTCATAGATCCTGTGGCGTCATTCTAAAGAGTAGGTCAATATTTGGTCAGCGACACGGTCCAAAATTTGCCAAATTTTAAAAATCACACCGCAAGCTTGCTCGATAGATATTACACACGACAGTAATCACCCGCTCCCAATTACTGCGAACACTTGGTCGAGTTTTTGTTGCTCTCGTGTTGTGTACGGAGACACGACAGCTTTATCGAGAGGCTGCGAGGAGGACTGCGTCTCGCTGGTGGTGTCTCTGTGAGTCTCTCGCTGGTCGTGTCTCTGTGAGTCTCTCGCTGGTGGTGTCTCTGTGAGTCTCTCGCTGGTGGTGTCTCTGTGAGTCTCTCGCTGGTGCTGTCTCTGTGAGTCTCTCGCTGGTCGTGTCTCTGTGAGTCTCTCGCTGGTGGTGTCTCTGTGAGTCTCTCGCTGGTGGTGTCTCTGTGTGAGTCTCTCGCTGGTGGTGTTTCTGTGTGAGTCTCTCGCTGGTGGTGTCTCTGTGAGTCTCTCGCTGGTGGTGTCTCTGTGAGTCTCTCGCTGGTGGTGTCTCTGTGAGTCTCTCGCTGGTGGTGTCTCTGTGAGTCTCTCGTTGGTGGTGTCTCTGTGAGTCTCTCGCTGGTGGTGTCTCTGTGAGTCTCTCGCTGGTGGTGTCTCTGTGAGGGCCTCTCCATGGCAATGCGCGCACGCCGAGTTCACGTCCAGCCGACAACTGCGGGGAGACCAGGCAGCGCGGAGCGAGTGACCCAGGATCTCGCTCATTGCCTACTGTCCGCCTTTCCCCAGTGCCGGCCACACCTCACTCCCCTGAGCTCAGCCACGAAATCCTTCCCCATCCGCCCTTGCAATGTTCCCTTTATCCATTCCCTCTTCCCCCACCCCGCCCGCCCCCACCCCTCCTTGCCAATCCCTATCTCCGAGGCAGGGCCCTCACTCACTTAAGAATATTGCATAGCCCATTGACAACACAATTGCTCACCACACTCTCCCGGCCATGACACAAGCAAAGTGAATGAAGCTGACCGTATGCTTTGCAGGGAGTTCCCTCTTCTGCGCGTGACGCATCTGTCCCATGGGTGTTGTGACACTCCGTGCCAGAAGCGCAGGCATTCTCCAGAGCAGCTACAAACACAAGTCAGGGCATCTGCTTTGACAATCACGCTTTACCATCTACTGTGAAAATCGTTCGCACCACTCAAACACACACTTGTGAGTGACACGCGCATTATATCACTGTGTAACAACAAAAAATGTTCCTGGGTAGTAAGTGTTATTTCCTAGTTGCTTAATGCCTCAAAGTACAGAAAATGGCTGTTATTCCTCACAAACTTTGCTTTTGTGACCAGGACAGTGATATTTTGAAATTTACCTATTTTCAGTAAGAAAACGTGGTCACAAAAGCAAAGTTGGTGGGGAATAATAGCCAATTTCTATACTTGTGAGCCATAAGCAATTAGATAAAAACACTTACTACCCAGGAACAAAAATCGTGTTCCATCGTGAATTATAAGCGAGCTCCGAAGTAAAACATTCTCTGTACAAGCTTCGATTTTCTTCAGATCCTCTAATTGTTGTTCCCTCAGCGAAGAAGCGTCACGACGCCACGCTGCTCTCCCACGGCCACGTCACAAACACTTCGCCACTATCTAGGAAAGGCCCACAATGCTTTGCTTGCCTGTGCTGTCACTTTGCCACAGAAGTTGACAGTTGTTAACACTGACATCGGCTATCAATGGTTAAATGAGGGGAGGGACAGTGACATCACGGTTATTGGCACTGCGATATGGACCGGGCAACCTGAGATGGCTGCCCGGCCACGGCTGCCATCAGTGACGAGTGATATCGCGACATCTCCACCAGTTTCTTCAGCGATGGTGAGTTGTGGAGGGGGGCTGTCAGACAACCCCCACCGCTGACAAGCCCTCCAATATTGCAGTGTATTGACAAAAGTTCTGCAGATAATTAATCAATCAAGTAATGAATAAACAATTTAATTAATCAAACGTGATTTGACGCTTTCGTTACCGCAGAAATTACTCTTTGGTTATTTCGGTAAAGTCACGTGACTTCACCGAAAAACCAAATAGTTATTTAATTAACGTATTTATCGACCGATTCATTATTATTATATTATTATTATAAACTGATCGCAACTGAACGGGACGCATAGCGGCAACTCGTTTAGAAAACCCCGCGCAGAATTCTCTTCCCCTGTCGTAGTTAGCAACTCGCGTGTTTCTGTGTGTTGTTGCTGCTGCTGCTCCCCTCCCCAAGTGAACAACTCACACACGCAGCCCTCGCACTTCATCTTCAAAGCCGGCGATTCACTCCGACTATCTCCGGCGAGCAGCGAGCGTCAAATTAAGCCACATCGCTACGCCTCATAGGCTTAGGGGGTCGTAATGGGTTCCGGATTACTTACTTAGCGCGTTCGTTGAAGGGAAACAAACTGGGCTCGGATGTGGAAAAAAACGTAGCATATTTTCTGGTGGCTCTAATCAGCCGCCACTGCTGCCCGCGTCTGTGTTTGTGCGCGGATTCGATTGTGGA